GGAGTCTGCTTCTCCCTCTGACTCTCCCCTCTCATGTGCTCTCTTTCTCATTCTCTCTCTCCCAAAAAATAAAGAAAGAAAATCTTTAAAAAAAAAAAAAAGAATTGCCTAGTCACAAGTGATATTTCCATGCTGTTCAGCCTCCATTGTTTTTCACTTGAAACATGATAAATATGAAAGGATCTTAACCAGCAAATGATTCATTCTTAATTAGCAAATGAATCCAAATGTGGAAAGGTCTTAGCCAGCAATGAATTATCACTGTTTCCAGTTAGTAACTAAAATATAGTTATTAAAACATGTGGGCTAAACACTGGCAATTTAACAACTATATACTGAGCACAAAATATGTGCAGGGTACTGTGCTAGTCACTACAGGAACAAAAAAGGTGGTCATAATGATCCTTGGCCTTAAGGAACTCACCTTCTACTAGAGGAGACAAGATAAGCTACCAAGGCACCCCATGGCTACATACAAAATAGAGGAAGTAAGGTAGAAGAAATACCTTAGAAGAGATACGAAACACCATGTGGCTCAAATATGTGAGACACCATGTCTGCCTGGAGCCATTAGTAAAAGCCTGTGGCCATTGAGAAATGGCAAGACTTTGACAGAGAAGGATAGGTAGAGAGGGCATTCCAGGTAGAGTAAGAACAAGAACAACGGTACAGAAGCACTGCAGAGAAGATAAGCAGTTAGGCATAGGTGGCTGTTTGAGAACACTGAATATTCAAATTGGTTGAAGCTTAGGGCAACTGTACTGGGGCAAGAATATGGTTGAAGATTTAGCAAATAAAAATATGGGACACTCAGTTATATCTGAATTTCAAATAAACGACAAATAATGTTTTAGTATAAGTATATCCCATGCAATATTTAGGATATACTTATACTAAAACATTATCTGGTGCTTATCTAAAACTCAAATTCAGCCAAGTGTCCTCTATTTCATTTGGTGACCCTCAAGTGACACCTTGGATTCCAAGCTGAGAGTATTTATTCTAATGGTATTTAAGATAGAGTATTGTGATCACAGTTGACTTTTGAGATATTATTCTGGTAGTAGGGCCTGTACAAGTCCATACTACAACTTTGTGCAAATTAATAAATTTTCTGGAGGATGTCACCCCTTTTTTCTGGAGGATGTCATCCCAAACCATGTCCCATGGAGCTTGGGCTGGATTTCTGCTCCCTACTCCCATCTGGGTCAGATTTCACAGCCTTGCAAGGTGACCCTGGGCAGGTAGGGGTCTGTTAGAGCAATCCAGGGAAAATTAACAAGGGTCCCAGGTCTGGTCAAGGCAAGAGGAGTGGAAGAGAAAAGATAAGCATATTAGAGAGAAGGCTGACTCTGAAGATTTAGATACCTTATAGCCACAGTTCTCAAAGTGGGGTCAGTGGGTCCTTTGGGCTCCCCAAAACATTTTCAGAGGGTCTGTGTAATGAAAATGAGTTCCACAATACTAAGACATCGTTTACCTTTCTCATTATGTTGATATTTGCAATGGTGGGAAGCATTGGAGGTAAAAGCTGTTGTTGCCCTAGCATGAATTAAGGCAGCAGCACCCAACTGACCTAACAGTCACTGTGTTCTTCAGCTTTTAGCATCACAATAAAAAATCTGTAAAAATTGTTAATTTTATTAAATTATAGCCTCTGTGTATATGCCTTCTTAATATTCTGGTTAATGAAATGAGCAGTATATAGAAAGCACTTCTGCATACCAAAGAGCAATGGCTATCTTGAGGAAAAGCACTCAGGCAATTGAGTTATACACTGAACACCAGATGCTTTGAAAAATGGAACACCACTTTCACCTAAAAGAACAACTCACAGACAAACTATGGTTGTTCAGATTTGGATATCTGGCAGACATTTCTCAAAACTGAGTAAAGGAAGCCTCTCACCTGAAGTAAAACAACTCATGATATTTGTTGTCTAATGATAAAATTTGAGCTTTCAAGTCAAAACTAGAATGATGTTGAATATGTATCCGTCACTATGACCTTGACAGCTTCCCACTACTCACTTTTTAATGAGATTAATGGTGACATTAATGAATGTGCTTTTTAAAAATATTTTATTTATTTACTTATTTATTTATTTATTTAGTGTGAGCAGGGGGATGGGCAAAGGGAGAGGGAGAGAGAGAATCTCAAGCAGACTCCACACTGAGCACAGAGCCCAACACAGGGCTTTATTCCACAACTCTGAGATCATGACCTGAGCCAAAATCAAGAGTCAGATGCTTAACCAACTGAGCCACCCAAGTGCCCCAAATGTGATTTTTTTGACATTGTATAGTGAATTATGTGGGCATTGAGAAGATACAGCTCAATGCATTGGTACTTTTCAAATGACTGATGCTTGAGTAAAAAGATCTAGTCAAAATGCAAGATAGATCAATGTACTTTAATCTAATAGAATAGAAAGAATTCACTGATATGGTTTCAGATTCCACATTCCACATTAACTAAACTTTAAGAAACTGTCACTTGCTGAGTTTTGGTGCAATGTCAAGGAAGACTATGCACAATTATCTGAAAACACTATTAAAATATGGCTCTTTTCTCCAATCACGTATCTGAGCAAGACCAGTTTTCTTTCTATATTTCAGTTAAAAGTTATTACAACAGATTGAATGAAGAAGCAGAGATAAGAAATCCAGCTGCCCTCCAGAAGGCCAGATAGTAAAGGTTTGCAAAAATGTACAACAATGCCACTCTTCCAACTATTTTTTTGTTTTAGAAAAAAACTATTTTTCATAGAATGTGTTAACTTGTAATGAATTTATTATTGCTATTTTTAGATGGACTAATACATATTTTTAAAAATTCTGTTTTAATATCCAACATGGCTAATAATGATAGATATAACCCACAAAAACAAAAGCTCTCTGGGGTTCCTCATAATTTTTAAGGTGTAAATGGGTCCTAAGAACCTAAGAATGACTGCTAAAAACTAAGAAGGAAATTGAGGATCCAAATACGGAAGATTCAACACATTGGGGGCCCTTAAAAGAACAAGAAAAGCCAAGAGAAAAAGTGGAGTTTGGGCAGGGATGGTGGAGGAGGTAATAGTAGTCTGTTGGGTTTGAGCATGTGGCGTGCCCACAGCACTTGGAGATGAAGTCCAGCAGGCAGCTGGGAATACTATCTGGAACTTGAGGGAAGGATTTGAAATAAGGACTTAGATTTGGGATATATTTTCATAGAGACAGTAGTAAGAAACAAGAGTCTTGCTCCATTTGATGAGTGAATCAAAAGCGAGCAAAACCTTGGGAGGGAGTTACCAGACTCAAGGAGTAGAAGGAAGACAAAGTAGGAAGACAAATGAAAGAAAAATCTAAAAGAGGAGGAAACCTAGACTAGTGCAGAGTATTGCAAATGCATTTATTGTTTGTTTGTTTGGTTTTATCAAACACTATGGACCAGGCATCGGCCCAGGCAGTTGACATGAATGCTCCCATTTATTTCATCATTCATTTCATACGGTGACCTTGGAAGGCTGTATTAATCATCTCATTTTGCAGATGAAGAAGAGGAGGCTGGGCTTTTGACACTTGGTTCTGAATTTGGAGAGGATGCTTAATAGTGTCAAATACTTCAGTGTGATGAAGGGGAAACAACCGAGAAAAGGCAAATGGGATAGACAGTCAGAGGGACCTTCTGGAGAATCAGGTAGCCCAGTATTTGGAAACAGCCAGTCAAGCAGAGTGCAAAATATCTTTTTATTTATTTTATTTTATCTTATCTTATCTTATTTTATTTTATTTTATTTTATTTTTTAAGAGAGAGAGAGCACTGGGGGGAGGGGGAAGGGAGAGAGAAAATCTTAAGCAGGCTCCAGGCCCAGCACAGAGCTTGGTGCAGGGCTTGATCTCATGACCTGAGCTGAAATCAAGAGTCGGATGCTTAACCGACTGAGCCACGCAGGCGCCCCCAGAGCACAAAATATCTTTGAAAAACCTTGAGGGTGTTAAGAAGCAAAAGCCTAAGAGGATAGCAGTGATATAGGAATACTACAGTTCCCTTCAGTAAGATAAGAGGGGAGAGGGACACTTCTGATTTATATATTATTTTACATAAATCTGCATAGCAATTTCCCAACCCCCTAGGGAATCAGATGTAAATGCAAGAAGCATAGAATTTCAGGGGAGACTTAAAGGCATTTCAGTGTTCTCCATTCTCCCCATCCCGCCCTGGAACCAGCTTCTATTACTTGTCATTTTAAAAGTGTAAGAGCTGAGCAGTAGGCTTCAGAAATCTGATTGAAAATCATGTTCACAAACCTTTAGAGACTGAACGTCTTTCTCATTCTGTCTTGAGGGCTGGAAATGTGCCTCTCACCTCCCGTTCAGCTCTACCCTGCCCCACTGCCGTATGAGGTCAGGGCGCAACTGCTTCTGATGTGAAGTCACAGCCGCAATAATTTAATTACTCATTCAGATGGTATTTTTTTCCCATGAAGGTAGTCAAGCCTCAAATTCTTATAGATTAAAGCTTTTAATAGGGGAAAGAGGTGAACAAATTATTAATATTAATGACAATTTGTGTCTTTCAAATGATCTTTTGAAGTATGCATATAATTTGTGAACATTAGCTTAGAAATCACCCTTTCTGGAATGAATTGTGTGATAATTACAATGACTGTGAAGCACTTATAACAATCTTCTGTCTAGGTAGAGCATTACAGGTCAAAGAACAAAATCAGCTGAAATGAGGGAGCTCTGCCCTGAAACAGCAGAGGAGGCAAGTGGGATTGACTCTTGGGTTCTCATTAAGTAACAGGTTATCCAAGTGCTTAGCCGGGCATCTTCCCCTTTGTAAGAACTCAGTCACTGCTAAGCGGGCCTGACATCGTTCCCATAAATCAGTATGTGTGACAGTGGCATGTGGCATGCCATGCTAGACAGAGTAGATAATCATACCTGTGTGATGACTTAATGAAGCCAGCAATGCCTCCCCCTTTGAATCTCTTGCCGACTAAGGAAGCACAGTAACAAATTTCACTGTGGTTTGTTCTGATTTTGGTGTTTAGGCTAAGCCCCAATTTTTAAGTAGCATTGCCCCCTACCCCAAGAAGTAATGTATTAAGATACCGGTAGTACAGTGTGCATTAGTTTGAAGGTTCTTTTTTCTATGATGCAAAGGTTTGTCATGCAAAGCAAAGTGGGTTGGGGCAAGAGACGGGGAGGTTTCCCTGAAAGTGAGGCGATAGGTTTGTAAAGTGAGGCTGTTTATGCTCCATAATTTCATAATTTCTCCTTACTATTCCCCTTTTGGTCATCTGGCTCAGGCTTTATACCTAATGCCTCAGTTCCCCAGGAAAGAAAGAGTCCAATCATATTTTGCCCCCAAGGCTGTCAAGATAAATATTGTAACCTGAGTGCATGTCTCTAAGTACCCCTACTAAACCATCACTCTTTTCCTCTCCACTTATCACCACTTATTTACCTTCTTGAACTTACTCTGATATTAACATTTCACAAAGGTACAGAAAGACTTACCCAGGGAAACTCTTGCAGGAACAGCTCTCTGGTCAATCCAAAATGAAACCCACGAAAGCATTACCATCAGCATAGCTGGGAAATACGTTTGTAGCACAAAGAAGAAGATATGCCTCCTTAGCACAAAGTTGATGAAAAGCCTATTGTACCAACCTATGAGAAAAAGCCAGAGTTTTCCTTAGAACAGGCTTCCTCACGAAAGCATCACACTAAGTGGAATCACCTGCTTCTTTAAACGCTAAGCTCTAAGGGAACATGGAACTGAACACACTCACCCTTGTTTACCCAGCAGGAGGACAGGGCCTGGGCCTGTCACTCCATCAATGTTTGTTGGACTAACTGACCTGTAGTCTGTTTAGTTATGTGATTCAAAGATTCCCCTTAGGTATGTGCACTGCAATGTTTATAGCAGCAATGTCCGCAATAGCCAAACTATGGAAAGATCCAAGATGTCTGTCAACAGATGAATGGATAAAGAAGATGTGGTATTTTTGGAATATTATGCAGCCATCAAAAAACCCTCAAATCTTGGCATTTGCAATGATGTGGATGGAACTAGAGGGTATTATGCTAAGTGAAATAAGTCAGTCAGAGAAAGACAAGTATCATGATCTCATTGATATGAGGAATTCTTAATCTCAGGAAACAAACTGAGGTTTGCTGGAGTGGTGGGGGGTGACAGGCTGGGTGATAGACATTGGGGAGGGTATGTGCTATGGTGAGCGCTGTGAATTGTGTAAGACTGTTGAATCACAGACCTGTACCTCTGAAACAAATAATACATTACATGTTTAAAAAAAAAAGAAGATAGTAGGAAGGGAAAAATGAAGTGGGAAAATCGGAGGGGGAGACGAACCATGAGAGACTATGGACTCTGAGAAACAAACTGAGGGTTTTAGAGGGGAGGGGGGTGGGGGCATTCATTAGCCCAGTGATGGGTATTAAGGAGGGCACATATTGCATGGAGCACTGGGTGTTATATGCAAACAATGAATCGTGGATCACTACATCAAAAACTAATAATGTAATGTATGATGACTAACATAATATAATAAAATTAAAAATGAAAGATTCCCCTTAAATTTCATAGCTGCTGTTCAGGAATGACTGGTAATTATATTTTGTGGAATGGCCTTTAAAGACCTTTCTCCAAAATATATTGTGTTTGCATTATTTCTGCAAGTGGGCAAATCTTCAATACATGACAAATGACTGGGTGAAATAGCCAATAATCCATTTATTAGCTTCAACAAATGAAAGGGAAAATTTTACCTGAAGGAAAAGATTCACAATAGCTACTGAGTCATTGGATTCCAAGTTGGAATCCAGACAGCGAGGGATTCATAAAGGGAGTGGGTGAAAGGAATATCCATAAACTGTTTGTATTATTTCAAATTCTGGTGGGTACCATTCATTTATCTATAATAAATCTGAAAAAAAAGTAATCAAATGATGATGTTTCTTTGCTTCTGGTTGGAATTATATAAACTCATGTTGGTAATATTGATTGATTCATGCTGATCAGAAGCAACAATTGCAGTCACATCTGTACAATTTTGTTCAGGTTTCCTTTTTCACACCGGTTGAAAGGAAGTTTAAAGCCAAAAAAAACAAGGGACTATAAGTTAAAAATTATCAAACAAAATCATACGCTTTGTAAAAGGGTTTAAAGAATACTTCTACTAGTCTCAGTAGTAATTTCTTAGGAAACTCAAGATGGCACACTTATTAGATGGATCAAGTCAATATTTAGGCATTCAGCCCAAAACATAAACCGAGCAAACCCACCCTGAATTGGCAGACTCTCCTCTTAGTATTCTATTCGCAATTACGTGCTGATGACCCTTCTTGTCCCTATCTGTTCTGAGGTTCTCTCTCACCATCAGTTGATGTATGTTTCAGGAATATCAAACAATTTCATTCCCAAGGGAAATAGAAGACACATTACATAGTGCATTGTAAAGTCAGAATATACAGTATTTTTTGAGCTACTCATTGTCTTGTATTACCCATGTTACAGACCCGCTTCATTATTGTGTGCTGTTGAGAATTTTGATTATAGCTGTAGACTGGAATAACAGCCTCTCTGATATTATATCTTCATATAATCATTGTGAGATTAAAGGAGATAAGGAAAAGTTGTGGAAGAATTTCGTAAAGACACTATTAGTATATATGGTTTTAACTATGAACTAAATTTTGGTAACAGGGTCCTTTCTTTACTCATAATTTTCTGAATAATAACTTTGTTTTTGGCAACTGAGCAGGAGAAATGCTGCTCTGCTGTGTGGTTCTTCAGGGCAGGGGAGACTAGGGATCATATTGTGGTTGAAGCTATAGGCCAGGAAGAGCTCTCTCCACCACCAGGAAAGGTGGTGCGGCCTTGAAAAGTTGTGGAACCCTCATTTTGGATAGTGTGATAAAGAGTCTGACTCCACTTTTGATATTTGACTTCTCATATCTCCCAAGCCCTATTTTCCCTCCCCATTTTGTCCCACATCTGCGCAAACCAATAAGAAAGCTGCGTGCTCCCTCTTTTGACGCCCATGGGAAGTTCAAAGCATGCAAGGGAGCCCTCACCCTAGCCCCACCCTCTAACCACCATAAAACCCCACGCCAGTCACCCCTCCTCATTTTCTCAAGCCATTTTCAGACCTACATGGGAGCCTACCTCACTCTCTCTAGAAAACCTCGTTATGTGTGTAATAAATCTCTTTTTACCCTTCTGCTAAGTGTGTGGCATCATCAGTTTTGACATCTGAACCACATTCTGGGTGGAAAGGCCCATCAGCCTCCATTAGGTTGTTGCACAGTAGAAAGAAGGGGAGTTTATGAAAGAGAGAAGAGGGCTGGAGAGTTGGCAGCCAGGAAAATGCAAAAGAGGGGAAGTGATTGAGGAGTCAGTCCCAAGAAAAGGTTCAAGAAGGTTTTTATACCTAGAGACTGTCACCTTCAATGGCCTGTGACATTAAAGGCCTCATTCTGTGTTGAAAGGATCCAGATGATGTTGTTGATGAAAACAGTGACGATGATAGTTACTAGCTCATATTTCCTGAGCACTTACCATATGGCAGATGGTATTCGAAGTTATTTATGGCAGATGGTATTCTAAATTATTTAAATGTATTAAATCATGTATCCTCACAACCCTATGAGGTAGAGAGTGTTATAAAAACAACTTAAAGATGAAGACATTGAGGCTTAGGGAGACTAACCAACTTGCCAACGTTTCTAGTAAGTGGCAGGGCCAGGATTTGAACTCATGTAGTCTGTCTCCAAAACTTGTACTTTTAGCCACTACGTTATACTACAGTAAAGAATAATTATCAATGCATTCTTTAGGGACAGGAGTCATTTTCTTTTCCTTTGTAAATTTACAGTGCATGATTGTGAGGGACATTGAAAGGCACGAGAGGGCAGAAGCTCTCACCTGCTTGTTAACATTGCCAGGAAAAAGTGGGAACCTGATGGTTCAGCTATCAAATGGAAACTAAAGTTGTATAATTATAACTCTACTTCTGGCTCAGAGCCAGAAGTACAGTTTTTTCTGTATAGCTGATTTGGCTATACAGAGGTTATGGTAGTTGTTATAATGATAGGAATGAAGACAAAATATAAAAAAAGTTATTTTTGATGAAGCTAGTATGTTTAAGCAGGATACTAACCTGAGAAAAACACTTGAGTTTAGGTCTCAGGAGACCATATTTAATAATTCACGGATAATGTGAGGCAGAACTATCATATACTTGTGAGCTAAAATAAATTTGTAAATGCTGATATTTCTGAAACCTAAGAATCATTGAATAAACCCATATATGATTAACAACTTGATATTTGGAGGCGCCTGGGTGGTGCAGTTGGTTAAGCGTCCCACTCTTGGTTTCAGTTCAGGTCATGATCTCAGGGTCATGAGATCAAACCCCGCCTGGAGTTCCACACTCAGTGCAGAGTCTGCTTAAGACTCTCTCCCTCTCTCTCTGCCCTTCCCAGTCCCACTCTCAATCTCTCTCTCAAATAAATAAATAAAATCTTTAAAAAACTTGATATTTGACTACAACTTCCAAAATGCTTTACTCTTATATTTTTTATAGTCTTAAAGCCCATTTTAATCTTTCTTATTAAAAATGTATACATTGTAACAATTTAAAAATACAGAAGTGTTGAAATAAAATTGAAAATATTCCTAATCTATACTCAACTCTCAGAAGTATCAATTGTTAATCTTTCTGGACATTAAAAAACATATATATATAAATCCTTTTTTAAAAAAAATATTTTATTCATTTATTTGACAGAGAGAGAGTGAGAGAGCACAAGCAGGGGGAGCGGCAGAGGGAGAGGGAGGGGGAGAGGGAGAAACAGGCCCTGGGATCATGACCTGAGCTGAAGGCAGACGTTTAATTGACTGAGCCACCCAGGTGCCCCTATATAAGTAAGTCCTTTTTAAAATAACAAATATGGGATTATATATATTCTTCTATAACATGACTTAAAATTTTTAAAATTTATCATGGATAATTTTCTATCATGCTATACAAACCATGTATGTTTAAATTCTTTTCTTTTTTTATTTTTCTTAGAAATCAAAATGTTTTTTCTTAAAATTGTAACTACACCGGAATGTTAAGAATTTTTAGTGGATTTTAAAACACTTAAGAGCATCTTTCTGAGCAGGAAGTTTTTCAATGTAAGTATTTTGCATGGCTTTAGGCAGACTCTAAAACATGACCAGAAGAAGTATAAAAATCAACTAGTGTCGGACCTGCCTAGTAGGGCTTAAAAAACCTGACAAGGACAAATAAAAAGACAGCAAAGCCAATGGAATGGCATACTGGTGAAGTAAGAATTTGGAAATGAAATTTAACCTTTTCTTCTTAAGAGGATGGTTGGGTGTATATTAATGGATACTAGTGTTTCAAAATCTGAAGAGATGTCATTGCCATTAATATACACGTAGTATATACTCTGTGCAGGAAACAATACTCTTAGATTTCTATGCTTCATATGTATGACATTGTAATAGCTTCAAACATTGCAAAGACTTAGTCACAATCTATCATGTGCCAAAGTTATTTCATCATAACAACAGCAAAATGAAAATAGCTATAAATTATACTTTGACATGTATCATTGTTCATCCCACACTTTCCTTTGTTTAAATATTAATTAAATTTAGGACTCAGAGCATTAAAAATCCTGATAAAAACATACACAGTTGACCCTTGAACAATGTAGGGGTTAGGAATGCTGGCCCTGGTGTTGTTGAAAATCTGCAGAGAACTTTCTAGTCCCCCCAAACCTAACTACTAATAGCCTACTGCTGTCTGGAAGCCTCACTAAACATAACAGCTGAGTAAGACATATTTTGTACGTTATATGTCTTATATACTGTTTTCTTACAATAAAGTAAGCTAGAGAAAAGAAAATGTTAAAAAAACCGTAAGGGAGAGAAAATGCATGGGCAGTACCATACTGTATTTATCGAAAACTTTCGCATGTAAGTGGACCGTGCAGTTCAAACTCATGTTGTTCAAGGGTCAACTGTATTTACATATATAGAGAAAGAGAGAAAAGAAAAAGGAGAAGGACATATATAAAAATAATAACAGTTTACCTCTAGGAGGTGGGATTACAAAGGCTTTTTCTTTAAACTTCTCTGAATATTTTTTTCAAATTATCTGCCTATTATTTATTCATTCATTCAACAATTACCTATTGAGCATCTAGTATGTGCCAGGGGTATACCAATGATCAAAACAAATAATAGGTGTGTTACTTATATAATCAGAAAAGAGAAAAGGCCATAAGCATTATTATAGTTAATAGCATTATCTGCTGAATCCCAAGCATTGTAGACAAATAAGTGAAATGGAGCATTCGTTCTGGATCTAAATGGCTAAATAGCTGTTGGTTCTAGAAAGCCCTTTAGCTTCCCTGTGATGTAAATTTTGATTTCTCTCTTAATGATTCAGGCTTTTAGATAACAACCTGATAACGCCTCTCCCAAGTCTAAGGGCAGAGTAGAGCACCTCCAGGGAGAAAAGTCAGTAGGTAAAAGGATTCTAGGCAGGGCAGCCCTGAAACTCAGGGGCCAGCATACATTTTCCAGCCTAGCTATGGCTTCAAAAATCTAAAACGGCATTTTATACGGATTCTTCCTGAAATGACCCAAAATGCTAATAACCAGGGAAGAGAAAGCTACTTCTAACTTTAATCAACAGGGATCAAGTATAATTTAAAAAGTGCCATGTATACATGTTGCCAAACAAAAAATATATCTGTCATAGTAAAGAGAATACAATATAGGCCTGATTGAATGGACTTTCTGTTTTACCCCCTGATTCACTCAGCCATACTTACTGAGTTTATGCGCTGCTGAAGCAAGCACAGCAATATTCATCGAGTATCTATGATGTGCCATGCCCATTCCAGGTGCTGGGGAAGAAATGATGAACAAGACAGACAGATTTCTTGCACTCTTTCTAGTCAGGCCCTCAGACAAGAAAGCAGTCAACTAGAGATGTATTTCAGGTAGCATTAAGTGCTGTGAAGACAAATACAGACAGGGAATGGTGAGGAAGGAGGCCTAGTTTAGACATGATGGTTAAGAAAGCACTCTTTGAGATGATATTTGAACAACACCCTGAATGGAAGGAGGGAGCCGGTCATGAGAAAACTGGGGGAACATCACTCCAGGCAGAAGGAAGAAAAGGCCACAGCAGCTGTGTGGGTAGAATGAGACAGGTGTGTTTGAGGACAGGCAAGGCCAGCGTGGAGAGAGCAGAGGGGGCGGGTGTAGTGGGTGAGGTCAGAGGTAGATCATGTGGGCCTTGTAGGCCATTTGAGAAAGTTGGGTTTTGTTTTAAGTGTGGGGGAAACACACTGGAGGGTTTTTAGCAGGAAAGGATTGTGGTCTTCATGTTTTCAAAGATCACTCTGTTGGCTGTATTAACAGTAGACTGCAGAGGCCAGGAGTGGAAGCAAGATGTTTATTTAGAGGTGACGGCATGAGGAGGAGAAGTCACGTACTGGAAAGGCGGAGGAGGCTGCCTGTACAGAAGGAAAGAGGGTACTGGCTAAACGGGACACTTGTTTGGATTCAGGTCTCTTCACATGTTGTGGTACTTTGCAAACAGTAGGTGCTCAGTAAGTGCTGATAAACTGTCCACATAAAATAATGCACCTGCGCTGCTGTAGAAAGCAAATCCACTGGATGCACTGATCTCCTCAATGAAGAACTGATGCTCATCAGTATTTAGGGACTTGTTGCCCCGTTTCCAGTACAACATTAGATCCTCTTCATTGTAGGCGTCTAAAACAAGAGAATAATATTCTTGTTACTAGAATCAGTTCTTGTGCGCCCCATGAGGTCTATAGCCATGTTTTACGCAGTTCTGTATCTCCGGTGCCTGGTCCAGTGACATGTAGATATCGGATCCTGAAAAACGTTTGCCGATAGACTAATAATACCCATACCTACCAAAAGAAAAAAATAATCTCCGGGTGCCTGGGTGGCTCAGTTGGTTAAGCAACTGCCTTCGGCTCAGGTCATGATCCTGGAGTCCCGGGATCGAGTCCCACGTCGGGCTCCCTGCTCAGCAGGGAGTCTGCCTCTCTCTCTGACCCTCCCCCCTCTCATGCTCTCTATCTCATTCTCTCTCTCAAATAAATAAATAAAAT